ACTGATTGACAATACATTTCACATGCTGTTGTGCAAATGGAATAGACAACAGGTGGAAATTATAGGCAATTAGCAAGACACCTCCAATAAAGGACTGGTTTTGCAGGTGGTGACCACAGACCACTTCTCAGTTCCTATGCTTCCTGGCTGATGTTTTGGTCACTTTTGAATGCTGGCGGTGCTTTCACTCTAGTGGTAGCATGAGACGGAGTCTACAACCCACACAAGTGGCTCAGTTAGTGCAGCTCATCCAGGATGGCACATCAATGCGAGCTGTGGCAAGAAGGTTTGCTGTGTCTGTCAGCGTAGTGTCCAAAGCATGGAGGCGCTACCAGGAGACAGGCCAGTACATCAGGAGACGTGGAGGAGGCCAACAACCCAGCAGCAGGACTGCTACCTCCGCCTTTGTGCAAGTAGGAGCAGGAGGAGCACTGCCAGAGCCCTGCAAAATGACCTCCAGCAGGCCACAAATGTGCATGTGTCTGCTCAAACGGTCAGAAACAGACTCCATGAGGGTGGTATGAGGGCCCGACGTCCACAGGTGGGGGTTGTGCTTACAGCCCAACACCGTGCAGGATGTTTGGCATTTGCCAGAGAACACCAAGATTGGCAAATTCGCCACTGGCGCCCTGTGCTCTTCACAGATGAAAGCAGGTTCACACTGAGCACATGTGACAGACGTGACAGAGTCTGGAGACGCCGTGGAGAACGTTCTGCTGCCTGCAACATCCTCCAGCATGACCGGTTTGGCGGTGGGTCAGTCATGGTGTGGGGTGGCATTTCTTTGGGGGGCCGCACAGCCCTCCATGTGCTCGCCAGAGGTAGCCTGACTGCCATTAGGTACCGAGATGAGATCCTCAGACCCCTTGTGAGACCATATGCTGGTGCGGTTGGCCCTGGGTTCCTCCTAATGCAAGACAATGCTAGACCTCATGTGGCTGGAGTGTGTCAGCAGTTCCTGCAAGAGGAAGGCGTTGATGCTATGGACCGCCCGTTCCCCAGACCTGAATCCAATTGAGCACATCTGGGACATCATGTCTCGCTCCATCCACCAACGCCACGTTGCACCACAGACTGTCCAGGAGTTGGCGGATGCTTTAGTCCAGGTCTGGGAGGAGATCCCTCAGGAAACCATCCGCCACCTCATCAGGAGCATGCCCAGGCGTTGTAGGGAGGTCATACAGGCACGTGGAGGCCACAAACACTACTGAGCCTCATTTTGACTTGTTTTAAGGACATTACATCAAAGTTGGATCAGCCTGTAGTGTGGTTTTCCACTTGAGGGTGACCCCAAATCCAGACCTCCATCGGTTGATAAATTTGATTTCCATTGATAATTTTTGTGTGATTTTGTTGTCAGCACATTCAACTATGTAAAGAAAAAAGTATTTAATAAGATTATTTCATTCAGATCTAGGATGTGTTATTTTAGTGTTCCCTTTATTTTTTTGAGCAGTGTATAAACCCCAGTCGTACTTTATCAAATGCCTTTTCGAAGTCTGCTATGAATAGCAGGCCTGGTTTCCCAGATTTTCCATAGTGTTCTATTGTTTCCAGTACTTGCCTTATATTATCTCCAATGCATCTTCCATGTAAAAACACTGTCTTATTAGAATGAATAATGTCTGACAATACCTTTTTTTATTCTATGCGCTATACATTTTTGCTAGAATTTTTGCATCACAACACTGAAGTGTAAGGGGCCTCCAATTTTTTTTTATGGACTGTATCTTTATATTTTCCACTTGTATCCTGTTTCAGTAATAATGAAATCAGACCACCTTCTTGAGTGTCTGATAATCTACCATCTCTCTGTACTTTGCTCCATTCATCTTTGCCTCGATCCTGACTAGTCTCCCAGTCCCTGCCACTGAAAAACATCCCCACAGCATGACGCTGCCACCACCATTCTTCACTGTAGGGATGGTGCCAGGCCAAAGAGTTCAATATTGGTTTCATAAGACCAGAGAATCTTGTTTCTCATGATCTGAGTCTTTAGGTGCCTTTTGGCTAACTCCAAGCAGACTGTCATGTGCCTTCTTACTGAGGGGTGGCTTCCGTCTTGCCACTCTACCATAAAGGCCTGATTGGTGGAGTGCTGCAGAGATGGTTGTCCTTCTGGAAGATTCTCCCATCTCCACAGAGGAACTCTAGAGCTCTGTCAGAGTGACCATCGGGTTCTTGGTCACCTCCCTGACCAAGGCCCTTCTCCCCCGATTGCTCAGTTTGGCCGGGCAGCTAGCTCTAGGAGGAGTTGGTGGTTCCAAACTTCTTCCATTTAAGAATGATGGAGGCCACTGTTCTTGGGGACCTTCAATGCTGTTTTGGTACCCTTCTCCAGTTCTGTGCCTCGACACAATCCTGTCTTGGAGCTCTACGGACAATTCCTTCGATCTCATGGCTTGGTTTTTGCTCTTACATGCACTGTCAACTGTGGGACCTTTTATAGACAGGTGTGTGTGTGTGTGTGTGTGCCTTTCCAAATCATGTCCATTCAATTGAATTTGCCACAGGTGGACTCCAATCAAATTGTAGAAACATCTCAAGGATGATCAATGGAAACACAATGCACCCGAGCTCAATTTCGAGTCTCTTAGGAAAGGGTCTGATTTACATAGTAGCTATAAAATGTACATAGGCTGAAGCATGGGGTTTGTCCATCTGCATTTACCCCATTGGACACATTAGTAGGTCGTTAACGATTGTCAGACGTTTTGGCTCTTCAGTGTGAAGGGGTCTATGTCTGCCGACTTTAAGTACCGCTATGTGCGGTTGTAGGCTCCGACAGTTCTGTCTGATTTTTATTTTCTTTATCGTTTGGCTGGTGTTACGAGCCGATCCTGGTGACTGACCAATAGAAACACGGCTGGCACTGAGTATGCACACAATAATACGATTATTGTGAATAGTCAGATTTAATATAATAGTTTGATTTAAATGTTTACATGCTGTGCAAGAACGATTTCCCGACTAGGCTTGTTTACATGACACATCTGAAATCATTTTGATAAATGCCCAAAATTGCCAATCAAAATAAATGACCATGTTATTTTGGGGAAGCCTATTGCAGAATGTGACGCAGCCTTTCAAGGCAATTGCAGAATGTGACTGCAAATCATACAATCTGGCCAGGTTAATATCAAGATTTTAATTTGGTAATGTCGTGTGATAATCGTAAAAGACTGGATCTGACGTACAGTCTGCAAAGGCCTTAAGCAAGGGGACTGGAATTGGCCAAACTCGCAGTTTAATACATGTACAAAATTATCCTCTTTCCCTAAAAGCATGATGGTCATGACTTTCTTAATGAAAGGGGAGGTTAACTTGGCCGCAGACAATCGATTTGAGATCGACTTAAGTTTCAGTCATGGGATTTATTTTTGCTTTAACCCCCGAGTTAAATGGCTGTTGTAGATAGTTGTAGCAGTCTGTCTTTTTGCTAGTTTCTTAGCAAGGTTTTGGTCAATATCACTTGAACTCTGTCAATTATGAAATTAATTCCTTTAATTTATCCTTAATTGAAATGAAATTGACTCCACCTCAGTGCATTAGACTAGTAAACCTTACCATAGAATACATTGTTACCTTCTGTAGACAAACTGTAGCTTTAACATTGGGATTCCTGTATACATTTGCTACCCTCTGAAAGAAGCTTATTCATCTTTGTTGATGCCACAGTCATTCCCACTTTGTTTGCGTGTGGCTATGTATGCAAGCGCTTGTGAGTGTTTGAGAGGAAGTGTGCATGTGTATTTGCGCTCGCGTGATTGAGTGTGAGAGGCTGGTGTCTGAAGCTCTTTTCTACTCATCACTTCAGCAGCAGAAGTGGGTCTTATGGCAGGTACGTCCTACTCCACAACCCCACCCACCCCCCATCCCCCATCCCACGCCCAGTTGTCTGTTTACTGTCGCTCCTCTTATTGTGTAACTCTTTTGTTTATTTCGTATGTCTCAATTGGTGAACACCCGGCAGGAAACGAAAGCATGGCCCCACATATTTTTGCATGGCGTTCTTTTCATATTTTGCTGCAGTAGAGCTATGATCTGTATTGTGCTGTGGGTGTTGTACAGTAGTCATGTCGTCTCATAAGTGGTTGATCAACTGACTGATGTGGTTGTGGCCCATGCGTCAGTGATGTTGCCTACACTGATTATGAAGCTCATATCAATGCTGTGGTCTATACATTGTATGTAAACATTGTATGTGATCTCATAACCAGATAACTGTACAATAAGAATGTAATTCCAATGAAAATAGTCTATTAAACTATGTGGCTCAACCATAACTGTATGCCTATGTCAATACAAAGGCCCCCATAGCACAGAATTATGTAGATCTGAAATATTTGCACATAATAATATAGAGAAAATTCCACTCAGCTGGAAGACTGGGATCCTTTCAGCTCTGCAGATGTCTAATATAGGGGGTAGAGGTTGATTTGGAACTCTGCAGAATTCAGAGAATAGCTTCAGGAGGTCTGCAGAGCGACATGATCATGCCTCTTGGTCGACTTGTGTAGGACTACATCTTCGTGACGTGCGGTGATGTGTTCTATTCATTTTCTTTAATATAGCCAGGTTAGGTGAAGACGTTTGGTGTCTACTTTAATTTGATGTAGTGAATCTATTCTGTGAGGATGTGGGCTTCTAAGTAAAGCTAGGGACACATTGTATCATAAGAAGGATGTGACAATGGATGAAGGTAGTACTATACTATGGTCAGTACTCTACATTAAGCTCTTTCCAGTAGCAAGGAGGTTGATATAGTGGCAATGTGGTGTGCGCTTTGGAGTGTAATGACACTAAGTAGTTATGTTTGAGCAGATGCAAGAGGTGGTTGAGTCAGTCCACCGTGGCAGTCAGTTTTGAGTGAAAGTGACGTTCTTTGACTCAGTTTGCTGGAAGGCTGATCAGGGTGTGTTTGGTGTGTATGGATGGAATAGTGATGTTAAAATGAAGCCTGTATGCCTATTCTTCTCCCTTTGCTTTAAAAAAAAGGCATGTCTGAGTCGGAACAGTCTTTGAAGGGCACTTCACAGATCAAGATCCTTTCTGCCGAAGACATTGAGGGCATGACAGTTGTGTGTAAGGTAAATTGTTCAATTGCTTTGTAACCTTTCTCCATTGACGTTATTAACTGTTTAAAAAAACAGTGGTTTGAAATGTAAAGACAATATTTCTGTATTTTTGTAGCTGGCCCGAGAGGTGCTCGACATCGCCGCCCTGATGGTAAAACCTGGCATGACCACGGAGGAGATTGACCACACTGTGCACCTGGTAAAGATGCTGGCCTCCTTTACCCCTCTCCCATCCACTCGCTTTCTCCTCTCGCTCTCTTCCTTTCTCACTCTATTCTCCTCTCTCCCTCGTCTTGATCGTTGATGTGTAAGTACTTTATTCTTCCTCCCTCCAGGCCTGCACAGCCAGAAACTGTTACCCCTCCCCTCTCAACTACTACAACTTCCCCAAGTCCTGCTGCACGTCAGTCAACGAGGTCATCTGCCACGGCATCCCAGACAGGAGACCTCTGGTGGATGGGGATATCCTCAACGGTAGGCTTCCCAGGAGGAATCTCCATAGTGTCAAGTGACTTCTTTTCCTCATATCACTCTCAATCTTTACTGATGTGAATGGACTGGGCAGGTGAAAAGCAAATCCCTAGTTGGCATCCTCCATATGCTTTCACCTAATGTATATGCTATTATCAGATCATTGAGTATGATGGGGTTTCACTAGGAGATACAGCCACCTTAGACTATTGAGATGCACATGGAGAATGGGCTAGTTTCCATTCGACAGACTGCCAAAGACTTCTTGCTCACAGCATGGTTTGACAAGATAAATTGTTTTATTAGTATTCAGCAACAGTCTATAGGACTTCAGCCAAAATGTAGCCTGTCCCCTATATATTTCTGCGAAGGACTCCTCAGAAGAGACAGATCCAATCAGAGACACTGCCAAAAACCTGACTTACAGCATGGTTTAACAAGACAAATGCTCTCATTTAGCGTTCAGCTTTGCCATTTTGCTCCCTAGCGTGTGTGTATTTCTGCTAATGTTCGGCATCTCTTTCCCTCCTCCTTTGCAGTGGATATTACTGTGTACCACAATGGATTTCATGGAGACCTCAACGAGACCTTCTTCGTTGGAGAGGCAGATGAAGGGGCGAAAAAACTTGTCCAGACCACCTTTGAATGCCTTATGCAAGCCATCGACTCCGGTAGGATCTCTTACCTGATGCCAGATAATCATAATGATGAACTTGATTTCTTTAACAATTAGGTCACTATCTCAAAGTTAAAGGGGCAATCAGCTGTTGCTACATCCATTTTTGGACTCATAAATGAATGGTATGTACCCATTTGATTCTTGAAGTATAGAACTTATAAATGCCAAATTAGCTTATTAGTTCAACTGCCGTACCCCATCAGAACCCAAAATATAAGCTTGTTTTACACCGATGTTTGTAAACAAACACTATATAGCCTCAAAACATGGTTAAAACTATAATTTTGATATCAATGATGGTCAGTCCTTGCATCCATAGTTCTGTCTATGAATTTGAGTGGTTACTTTTCTCCAGCCCCATCCCTCAGCTTTTTACAGAAACGGGTGGGGAGAACGCTTTGTTTCAACTGCTGAATGCCGCTTTAATGTTTCCCCCCCCCCCCCCCCCCCCCCTTTCTAGTGAAGCCAGGTATCCGCTACAGGGAGCTTGGTAACATCATCCAGAAACATGCCCAGGCTAATGGCTTCTCTGTGGTGCGGAGCTACTGTGGCCACGGCATCCACAAACTGTTCCACACTGCCCCTAACGTGCCACACTATGCCAGTGAGTAACACTACCTCTTAGGGCCGGGATGGTACCTATATTGCGATACTCGTTAGTATCGTGGCAAGGAAACAAAACACGAAGTGGATTTAACTTGTTTAGTAAAACAGCCCTAATGTTGGAAACAAACAATTATGTCGTAATCATTTATTTAGTCACATTTATTTATTTTCCAAGCTATAGCACGCTATTTTACATACAGCAGGTTTTTAAAGGACCAAAGAATTGGGTCTGTTTTTTTGTTTTCATTTTTACCATATTAATATACTTGTATCATTCCGGCCCTACTCCCTCTCCTTCCACCAATACGCTTGTGAAATTGACATCCTATTCTCAGATAACATAGTAGCCTACTTTATCAATCGAAAGGTGATTTGGGGGATGATGTATAAAGCAGTGCGTTTCCTCTTTCCTTTGCAGAAAACAAAGCAGTCGGAGTGATGAAGCCTGGCCATGTATTCACCATCGAACCCATGATCTGTGAAGGTAAGGGCCCTCTGAGACATGACCACAGATTTGGGGTGTAATATTGTGTGTAATTAGTTGGTAATTATATACCTATGTGTAAAACTACCTGTGTGTTTAAAACTGTATACCTGTGTGTGTGTGTGTGTGTGTGTGTGTGTTCTGCGTAGGTGGTTGGCAGGACGAGACGTGGCCTGATGGCTGGACAGCAGTGACCCGGGACGGAAAGCGTTCTGCCCAGTTTGAGCACACCCTCCTGGTGACTGAGACGGGCTGTGACATTCTGACGCGCCGGCTGGATGACAACGGACGTCCCCACTTCCTGAACCAAATCTAAACTGGGGGGGGGGGGGGGTACAGCCACAAATGGACTGTCTCACGGGACGCTTTCTCTTTTGCACCCCCGTCGTATCACACACACAAACACACACACACCTCTAACCTGAGGCACCACACCCCCTGGAGGCCGGCCCGCCCGCCGTGGCCCAGCTCTCACTGTTCAACGAATTTAGTGTCTTTCTCCAAAATTAACGGAAAGTACTTGAATACATCTATCAACTGTGTGGATTGTTTTATCTAGGCTGTTTAAAAAATAAAAATAAAAATAACTGTCTCATCAGGAAATGAATAGGAATAAGAGAAGGGAAGTGTATTCATGAAATGTGGCTTTGCGCAGTTGCAGGTTGAATTCTTACTTTGATTGTGAGCTTGGATTCTGTTGATGTGTATAACTGCAGAGGTATGGAAGGGATCAGGCTTTAGTTTGACCCCATGACTTCTAGACATGTGCCACCGTACTGTGTTGCTTAATTGATAGCAAGGCAGCCGGGCTCCTATTGACCGGCCAGATGTGGCCAGGGAAGGGGAGCGGTTCAGCTCAACTGTAGTGTTCTGTTAAGGTGTGTAGTGCAGGTCTATTCAAACCCGGGCCCTGAGGTCTGCAGCACTGCTGGTTTTCTTTTTTCTCTGGTAGTGAACTAGTTGGTTAATGTTTATTGATTTGACCAGAGTTCCTCACCTGACATCCCCAGGTCTGCTTTGAATCGGGATGAAAGTTGACAGTGCTACGAACCCTGAGGTCTGGATTGAAATTGGCCTGGTGTAGCGCGTTGAGCCTTAATCTTTGTGAATTAAGAATAAGCATGCTGGATAATGTCCAGGCAGCATGTGTCCATTATTCCTCAGTCCAGTCAATCGCTATTTACCTTGGTATGCTGCCGATTTGCTGGTGCGAGCAACAGTCTTAAGTCTCCATTTCCAATCTTTCCACAGTTTCTCTGCCACCTTTTTATTTCTTCTATGATGGAGTGATAAGCAGCTGTTCTGTAGTTGTGTGTATGTTTGAGTGTGAAGACTGTATAAATGCCAAAGGCTCTATTCCAGCAGAAGTTTGGGTTTACCACAGACCTGTGAGTTTAATACCCGTTTCCAGAATACTGTATTAAAATAGTGATAATTTGAAATATTGATTGTTTTATATTAGCTGGTAGTTCTGCATTTCTTTTTTTTGTATTGTACTTCCCATGATGTGCACATTATGGCAATCTGACTCTGCAAATTAAATTAATCTCATTTATTAGACTAGACACTTACTCCCAATGCTATGCGCAATTAGCCTGGCGACGAGCAACAAATGAAATTGACCAGTAAGACAATGTATTAAATTCAAATGGATAAATAAGGAGTGATGTTATGGTTTTCAGAGCCTCTTCTTGAAATTCCTTTTCTAGAATTTCAGGACAACACGGATACTGCAAAGCAAGAAATGGGAAAGGATGGTAATGATTTATAACTTTGTATAAAATGTGGAAAAATGGAAAGCTGGCTTTGATGTGATTCTACTGCAATGCCTTACCATTTCCCAGCATGCATTAAACCGAAGCCCTCTGAACTGCTCGAAGGGCAGTGTGTGGGTCACAAACTCATCCACCTTCAGCTTCTTGTTCATGTACTCACTGACCAGTTTAGGAAAACTCTCCACACATATCCTGTGGAAAGCAGATGCGAAGTGCGACCTCAATCTAATCAAAGATGACATCCCGGAAAATGCTGGACAACTGATTAACTGATGATTGGATAATGTGGGGTGCCAACTACACAGCGCTATTGGCTCTAACTGTAACATAATTAGAATCATCCCAGTCACCTCTAAGCAGTTCCAGTCCAAGTGCGTACTGTCACTAGCTGGACTGGGCGAGTGGAGATCTCTTGCCCGGCTGCTGCCACCCCTCCATGGCCACCCTCTGGAACACAGTATGTCACTTACACAACCGTCACCTTGCTATGGTGCCACTATATCCATTGGGTGTAACCGAGATAACATTTGCTGAAATTGAGATTTGCGCAATCTTTTTTTATTTTCTCAATATTGTCAACAAAATCTCCCCAAACATTCAAAGGAGTGGTCAGTAAAGGTAAAATTCACCTCATCACCATGATCCCAACTTTGCCCACACAGTCATCTCAACCAGAACCTCCTGGATAGACTTGCTGTGGTCCTTAGGGTTCACCAGCTCAGTGACTCCAAAATCCTTCACTACCTAAAACTTGTCTGGGTTGAGGTCGATCCCAATGGTCCTGGTCGCCCCTGTAGCTTTGCATCCAATGATGGCAGCCAGGCCCAACGCCCCAAGGCCAAACTGCACAGGTCGAGCCCACCTCCACCTGTAGGGACATAATTAGGCATGGAAATGAAACACCAAAGCCACTAGGTGAGAGTTGTGTCCTGCTATACTCAATCAGTTAAATCAGGTGTATTTTTATTTATTAACCCATATATTTTTTGTTTTTACAGCTTTGTTACATATACACTACCGGTCAAAAGTTTTAGAACACCTACTCATTCAAGGGTTTTTCTTTATTTTTACTATTTTCTACATTGTAGAATAATAGTGAAGACATCAAAACTATGAAATAACACATATGGAATCATGTAGTAACCAACAAAGTGTTAAACAAATCAAAATATAGTTGATCTTTGAGATTCTTCAAAGTAGCCACCCTTTGCCTTGATGACAGCTTTGCACACCCTTGGCATTCTCTCAACCAGCTTCACCTGGAATGCTTTTCCAACACTTGAAGGAGTTCCCACATATGCTGAGCACTTGTTGGCGGCTTTTCCTTCACTCCGCGGTCCGACTCATCCCAAACCATTTCAATTTGGTTGAGGTCGGGGGATTGTGGAGGCCAGGTCATCTGATGCAGCACTCCATCACTCTCCTTCTTGGTAAAATAGCCCTTACACAGCCTGGAGGTGTGTTGGGTCATTGTCCTGTTGAAAAACAAATGATAGTCCCACTAAGCCAAAACCAGATGGGATGGTGTATCGCTGCAGAATGCTGTGGGAGCCATGCTGGTTAAGTGTGCCTTGAATTCTAAATAAATCACAGACGGTGTCACCAGCAAAGCACCCCCACACCATAACACCACCTCCTCCATGCTTTACGGTGGGAACACATGCAGAGATCATCCGTTTACCCACACCGCGTCTCACAAAGACAAGGCGGTTGGAACCAAAAATCTCAAATTTGGACTCCAGACCAAAGGACAGATTTTCACCGGTCTAATGTCCATTGCTCGTGTTTCTTGGCCCAAGCAAGTCTCTTCTTATTGGTGTCCTTTAGTAGTGGTTTCTTTGCAGCAATTTGACCATCATGGCCTGATTCACACAGTCTCCTCTGAACAGTTGATGTTGAGATGTCTGTTACTTGAACTCTGTAAAGCATTTATTTGGGCTGCAATTTCTGAGGCTGGTAACTCTAATGAACTTATCCTCTGCAGCAGAGGTAACTCTGGGTCTTCCATTCCTGTGGCGGTCCTCATGAGAACCAGTTTCATCATACCGCTTGATGTTTTTTGTTCCGGATTGACTGACCATGTCTTAAGGTAATGATGGACTGTCGTTTCTCTTTGCTTATTTGAGCTGTTCTTGCCATAATATGGACTTGGTCTTTTACCAAATAGGGCTATCTTCTGTATACCAACCCTACCTTGTCACAACACAACTGATTGGCTCAAACGCATTAATTTGTTGAATTTCTTGCCTTCTTACATTTTTAAAAAGGCACACCTGCTAATTGAAATCCATTCCAGGTGACTACCTCATGAAGCTGGTTGAGAGAATGCCAAGAGTGTGCAAAGCTATCATCAAGGCAAAGGGTGGCTATTTGAAGAATCTCAAATATAAAATATATTTTGATTTGTTTTATACTTTTTTGGTTACTACATGATTCCATATGTGTTATTTCATAGTTTTGATGTCTTCACTATTATTCTACAATGTAGAAAATGGTAAAAAAAATTAAGAAAAACCCTTGACTGAGTAGGTGTTTGATATTACGTGTTTACACAGGATTTGTGGATGTGTTCAATACATTTATCATGTCACTCTGGGAGCCAGGAGGTCTGAAGGATCCACTGTTATTTATCTTAGAATGAGGTATAGAGGGACTGTCCTGTCTGGGGTGCCGGCTGGTACCATCTCGGTTGGGAGGGTCTTCCAGTGATGGTTGCCAGATGTTGGTTAAAACTTGTTTATCTTTGAGTATATAAACGGAGAGATTTCTTTTGTCTCTCATTCTGATAGCAAGAGGCAACTCACTTGCAGCTTGTTATATTGAATCCGGTGCCATATAATTAAATACATTGTATCAAATCTCCATCTAAGAGTTTATTTGTATTCTTGCATCCTGACTTCCTTAATACCAGAAAAGCTCATCATATCAAATTGGCGTCATGAACTGGATACAGTCTACGGCCAAACCAACAGGTAGGCAGACTTTCATGTTTTTCGGATTGTGTTAAAATCTGCTTATCTGTGGTAAACCTGAGCTGAAAATAACATTAAATCGCAATATTTTTAGGGGGGGGGGGGGGGGGGGATTAGTGGTATTGAGTTATGTAAAGGGATGTAAGGAGAATATCAAATTAGAATAAATTAAATGGTGCTGTGATTCAAAATCGGGTGCGTTCAGATAAATGAGTGGAAAACAAAGGATAAAGATTGGGTTTGAGGCCCTTGATGTTTAAAAGCATTATAAAAGATTGGGTTTGAGGCCCTTGATGTTTAAAAGCATGATAAAATATTGGGTTTGAGGCCCTTGATGTTTAAAAGCATTATAAAAGATTGGGTTAAAGGCCATTGATGTGTAAAAGCATTATAAAATATTGGGTTTGAGGCCCTTGATGTTTACAAATTAAGGAGGTTCAGTCCTCGGAGAGTTAGAGTACCTTGGTGAAGAGAGAATTAGTCCTTTGTGAATTACTCAAAACGGTCTGTAGAGAGGGAAAACAATAACTCACACGGCATAAGACTCAAGCAGCTACAACAAAATATAT